CTGTAAGGAATGCATGTGACTGCTGATCTTGAATATTGAATATCGGTCGGGAAGGCAAATCAAAACTCGGAAGGCTGCATACAAGATGCATAAGGTCGTCATAGGTAACAGATCCTTGACACGCAGCACGGTATGCTATACCTTCCGCTCTACCAACGGGTGACGAGAGACGTTCCCAGTCAATGACATAAGTTCTGCCAAGACGAAAGTCAAAAACAGGCTCCGGATATTCGATGTCACTAGATATATCCAGAATGCTGGACTCCTCCTGTGACTGTCTACTCGAAGCAGTGATTCGATCAGAACGAAAATACCATGTTATGGGCCCCATGGCTTCGCTACCTAGCACAAAGCGCTCAATCAGACAAATGCTGGCATCCGGTAAACTCAAGATTGCCAGACAAAGCATTACAGTGCTCTACTGACATGCAGTCACACACGTCCTTTGAAGCAGCAAAATATGCATTGACACTTCTCGGCGCTCAAAGAACGCAGTCGGAGCGATTAAGTAGTGAAACTGCGTGGCAGGACCTCACCACCAATCTTCTACTGGTGCATTCATCAGACAGGCTGTAATTTCTGTTCGGGCAGCTGTGTCAGACAGAAGCTGACTCCACGCTGGAATCCGAACATCAAGCGGCGGTCGGACACACACCAGATAAAATCGATCGACTGCAGCAGAAGCCTCACCAATAGCCCACCTCTTATCCGAGCTACAACTGCGAACAAGTTCGTGCTCTTTGCACGCCAGAGTCTCCCAGTATGTACTTGCCCCGTTCATCTTGTGGTGCGAAGTACAGAGGCGGCCCGAAACTATCACTCCCGCGCGGTTCTTGCCATGGGACTGTAACTCAGCTACTTTCCTGGCATTCTCCCTGGGGCTGGAATCGTAGCCAGCGCGGCTGAAAAAGAGGTACGGGGTTTTCCCGGGCTGCATTCCCATTGTCTCTGAACATGTGCGCAGCATGCATGCCGCCGTAAAGAGTCCTACCAACGTGAGATCCACGCCACAATGGTACCATCTGTAGTGGCCAGTGCTGGCAGTGGTGGGAGCTAATGCATGCCAGGCCCTAAGTCTCAAACTCCCGAACAATGCGATCGTTAGCGGCCCAGACTTTGGCCATACTCCGAAACACCGTGGTATAAGGCAGTTCGGCTGCTACCATCGCACGACAGAAAGTCAACACAGCTGATGGCTGCATTTGCCACAGCCACTGATTCTCAGACTCAATCACTTCCCGTGGCAAGAGACCTAGAATGTGCCTCAAACACTGCTGAAGCTCAGAACAGGAACTTGCTGCCACCGCTTCACTTGATGTGATAACCATGCAGCTCGACCTAACGCAGACTTGATGAGATTGCTGGGTGGAAGCTTCCAATGGTATGACAAAGCACTCGCCAAGGAGTCCTGATGTAGCAGCGCATACATGGTGTCCTCATCCAACAAGGTAATCTCTGCCTGTTTGAGCATAAGTGCTGCCCCAGGGTCAGTCGGCGTAACAGCCGTCGTTGAGGTAACAGTACGAGCATTGATGGAAGCAGCTTTGGGCTTGGCTCCGTCAATACAGGTAGACAAAGTGGCTTCTGCGGATCCCCTGACTCTGGCTGAAGCCGCGTTGGGGAGGGAGGAGGGGGAGGAGGAGGAGAAGAGGAAGAGAGAGGAGGAGGGAAGAGGCGGAGGAGGAGAAGAGGAAGAGAGAGGAGGAGGAGGAAGGAGGAGGAGGGAGAAGGAGGGGGGGGAGAAGGGGAAGAAGGAAGAGAAGGAAGAGGAGGGGGAGAAGGGGCCAGATGAGGGGAGAGAAGGAGTGTGAGTTGTCGGAGGCACTGCTGCAGCGCTGGCACTCGGAAGATTGGTATCTCTGGCAGGCAGGCGATGAACACTGCAGATGAGTAAACTGCAGCGCCGACTCAGGTCCAATCCACTCAATCGGAGGTGCAATCGACGACATATCCGAAGCTAGCGATGACTCACAATCTGCTGCGTTCAGATAGTTGATTGGGAACCTCTCATCCACTGGGTACTTAGACGAAGAAGAGCTCAAAGCACCAGTACCACTGCCCATGCTGCCCGGACCACTCTTGGGCCTCCGTCTCTCTAACGGAGGTTGGTCATCGCCTTGCGGTCTTCGCCGCGACGGCGTTCTACTTCTGCCAGGCATGCTGGCAAAAACAAGCTCGCAGCCAAAGATCTAAGTGCATCCACGAAAACACTGAAACACTGCAAGCACACTCACTCAGATGATAGCTACTCAGGCAGCAAGAGAGCACACAGAACATTTGCAATATTTCGGCTCATCTACCGCACATGTCCCAAGGTGAAACCGCGAGCTACATACAGCTGCTGCAGCTCCTGTATCTGTTGTCTTCGAATCTCCGGAGGCCATGAATATTTCTGAATCAACGCTTTTCGAGAATGGAAGCCAGCAATACGTATACGCATAGACCCAGCACTGTTGTAATGTCGAATCTGCCACGGCACCGCTGGTTGCTGATACACCACAGAGCGACTTCGCATGCACACTCGAAAGCCAAGAAGGAATGGTCGGATACTTCCTCCAGCTCTATAGACGCTCCGTAAAAGCCCGAGTGTAAAAACTCTTGCATAGCGCGAATGTTGGAAACCGAACGATCACACAGCACAAGACGATTGTCCACGTACCGGCACATGAAAAGATGCTGCAACCGTAACCCATGGTCAAGAAGTTGGACTCTCAATGACTGCTTCCACAGATGCTCTCGAAGTATCACCGGCAGACTGGACAAAACCGGCGAAATCTGATTACCGATGCAAGTGCCACGGATTTGCTGAAAGCACTTGTGATTGGCAACGAACACTCCCGTGCGAAAGGAAAGCTGCACAATGGATACCAGATGTCTTAGCTCCAGAGTGTGAAGCTGTTTGGACTGGCCTCCACGAGGCTTGTGCGGCAGCGCTCGTTGCGCCGAAGCCACAAATCAACTGTAAAAATGCTCACTCCAGTTTGCTGATGGTAGTCACGGTCAACACCTGCAAGGCAGACACTATCAACACTATTGAAAAATCCGACCAAGTCATCGTTGAATTCAAGCAGCTCGACTGACGACGGCATGTCTTGAAGATACTGATGGATCTGTTGTCAAATAGCAGGCATGCTCAAGTCCAATCCCTCCCAAACACTGCTGAGCATGAGTTGAATAGCATACGCAACGCCCGCAAGCAGTCTACGCAGTGGTGCATGCAGGTACGAAACAACGGTGCGCCCCTTGCGGAACATCTTCTTTCGCTTCAGCAGAACAAAACCTACAGGCAAACTGCCAGAGACATCCACACCCCATGAGTAGCGATGTCGAATCTGCCTGGGAATTTGCTCGAACACCCAGGCTTTCAGAGCGACAGCATCCAACTCAAGTTGTCGAAAGACAAGAGGATCATCCCAGGTGCGGCTGACACTAGCAAAGTAGAACTGGGGACAGAAAACCATCAAATGATTGGGATGGCGGTCCTCGCAATGAACGACAAAGTCTCGTAGTGCTTTCTTGCAATTCTGCACTCGCTTCCAGTCCAAGCGCGACTCACTGATTACACACTGCTCATGCAATGTCCACTGCTGCCCGCAAGAACATCTGAAATGACCGCTCAGTAAGAGCTCAAAACCCGTGTATGCGACGCCACTTGTCAAAGCTCGCACATGCATCAGAGAAGAACTTGGTTTGGGAGGGAAAGAATGTGGAATTCGCACTACCTTGTCCCAGATACCACAAGTCAAAACGCAAAGCTCCAAGCATCTCAACACCAGCTGCAACATGTCCATCCACAAAGCACTCATCCGGAAGCTGTAAGCTGGAGCAGTTGCAAGTAAGGCAAAGCTTATTCCAAACATGCAGCAAGTCCTTGCAAGACTGAAGCGAGGTCTCTCGAACTCGCGAGCTGGGCAGATGAAATGGGACCAGAAGAGGCCGAAATTGTAGCACCAAAGATCTGAGCCATGCATCATCTGACGACGCGAAGGAGCGATGCGAGAGAAAGGGAAGAGACAGAGAAGCTTGATGATGAGTAGGCCATGTCATCTTGCGGCGTTGCACCACCTTGCGAAGAAGACCCCTGAGTCTGGTTTTCTATGGTTCCTCCAAACAAAGACTCAATCGAACAATGGCGTACACTTCTTCATCCACCATTTTCTGGCTGCGGAGAAACTTTACTGTCTCAAAACTAGCTCGCGTGAAACTGGACAGGTCATACAGGCTCTCCCATGCTTGACGTCGCTTCACTGCACACTTCACTCAAACGGCTGGACACTGTGAAAGAGTCTCTTACGCAACTTTCTCCAGAGTCGAACACCAAACCTTGAAAAAGAAATAAAACGTTGCTGGCGAGTTGGACGGAAGCCTAGCGCAGTCCGCTTCAGAAAGATTTGAACAAACGGATAGTTCAACTTCGGCTGCCCGTGCGAAATCAATACATGTTCCAGTGTCCAGGCTGCACGGTAGCTACTGCAAGAAGCAATCTTAATCAACGTGAACTGACGAAAGCACGAATTCTGATGCCAATACCGGATAGCCAACTCGGCCTGAGCTTCTTGGCCCTGCTCCAACTTACGCAGAACAGACATACGATTGGCCTCCCGTAGTGTCACCGAAACGCCGGTCGATCCAATATACATCATCGTGTTGGGCTGACGATATTGGCCAAAACCAGATCCACATCGCCAATCCACAGCCACAATGATATATACAGCAAAGGTTTCCGGGAACTGCGGCCAGGCATACTGCAATGGGGAGAGTCCCATGCTCTGTAGCTTGCATCGTACATTGTAGCCCCACGACTGCAACCGCGAATCTTGGAAATGAAAAAGCCAAACAATGTGAAGCAGGCCCTGAGCCCAATTAATGTCAGCTTTCGGAAGATGCAAGCACTCGTGTTTGAAAAAGGTTAATGCCTGCCCTAGCTGACAAATGTCATGCAGCAAAGCGGTTCGTACGACCGCATGCTCCTTGTCTGTCTTCTCCACTTGCACTGCGAGTCAAGCGGCTTGGTACTCAGCAACGGCAATGCACTTGCTGAGGTTTGTGATGCTCAATCTGGTAGCAGAATTGCGATCAAGTCCGAATCTGGTGGCTGCTTCCACCATCTCACTCTTGTCTGCATTCTCAGTTCGTAACTTGACAACAAAATTGACATGCTTGTTGAGCTCACGAAACTTGCCTTTGCACTGCTGCTTGATCGACTGCATCCAAGCTTCAACATGCTCCGTGGATTTGCTCTTCGGACGATTTTCTTTCAAAGAAGTGATTGCCCCGCCCAAAAGCTTCTTGACCTGGCTGGACGGATCTTCTGCATCTGCCTTGCGCTTCTTGCCACGCTTACTATCAATGGGCAAGTCTGTCGTGTTCTCAGGCGTGTCAGGACTTCCACTCTCCTGCGATGCGGCACCTGGCTCGGCTACTGTCTTGCGAGGAGTCAAGGCGATACCAGCTTGTGCAAGCTTGGCTTTGGCTCGAATCAACTCTTCTGCATCGGCACTAGACGAAGCTGCAACCAAAGGAACATGAGACTTGATTTCTTTCAGCAGCAGATCAATCAGCGGCTGCATGAACGCTGCGGCTTGCTTGTGCTTATCAGGAACAGGAAGACTGCGTTCTTTGAGGCACCCCAGTGCAACGAAGTCAACATCCACCTTCGTCTCACGAATGCCTTTAAGCAGCTGTGTGACCAACACACTCTCAGCCGTATTGTGCGTCCAGACAATGGATTGAAACCGTCCTTCCGAAAGCATGCGCAGCGAGAATTCACTCATCCCACGAAAACACAACTCATGCACACGAAGATCATCAACTGGTCTGCCTGCGATTTGGGCCTTTCTGGACCAATCTGTGGATTGAACCACACGATGAAACTGATGATTACCTGATCCGACAGCGGTCGAATCAAAGAACTTGTCGTCGCTCTGGAAGTGGGATGGGATTGTTGGTTCAGCGGCAGCAACAGTAGGTGTGTGGGTGGAATCCTTACGAGAGTCCCACCAACTGTTCGTCGAATCTGACCAATCTTGCTTGCTCTTGCCCCAATCCCGATTACCCTGGTAACCGGAACTGCTTGACCACTGGCGAGAATCGGAATTCCACATGGCACTCAGTAGTCTGTCTACAGTCACAATCAAGCACTGGTTTCTGGACCAATAGAAGAAAGAGTATAAACTCAGTTGGAGACATTGTTGAATGTATGAAAAGTCAGTAGACTGAATCTCAGGCGGTGTGCAGACGGTGTCAGAGTCAGCAGGCTTAGATCAGGTGTTCCGATCAGGGAACGGTAGCTGGTCATTGGCCTGACCCTCACCCGGGCAACCCCGGAGCAGACAGCGCGCTGGACGAAGCTGTCTGGAGCACACGCGTGCAGGTCTCCAACTGAGCAATGAACAGATGTCTGGTAAATCAGCTTGTACGATTGACTATTTGGGGTCCTTGGCTGAGCCCCTTGCCAACACAGAAAAAAATTGCAGGTACGTGGTTCCAGCGTCCCAGAACCATATCAGCACACTCTGAAGA